GTGTCAAAATGTCTCTCCGTTGATCCAGTACGCCACGAACTTCTTCGTTGGTAATATGTTCAGACCAAGATATGCGTAAATTCGGCAATGAACCCACATTTCAAATATCTCCAGTTTCTTGATAAATCTATGCAGACGATACCGTACTAATTGCAAACTGTACAAGATTTGCAAAACATATTTGGTTTGGATTCTTTCCATCAGATGCTGTAGTTCATTGATTTCCTTGTCAAGTAGATTGTCGCGCTCACAAAAGGCTACCCGCTATTTGCGCTACGACGGTTCTATTTCCAAAGAAACTGGTTCCGGGCTTTTCCAATACTGATCAATTTATTTTAAACAGATTTGGTTCGTTACAACTTACAACTTGTCTTTTTGTTAAATRAAACTGAAACTTCTCTAAACTGTCAAGAGAGCGTATAGTAACGSGTTACCCAAATCGAGATTAGGAAAGTAAAACCTTGCTATTTGATATTTGTCAAAGGWAAACGTCATCCGAAGCGTTTTTGGTTTAGTGACCGTATGGTGTGCATTATGGTCCCGAGGTGTTACTGGCCCGTATTTTTTTGAAAACAATCAAGGAAGAGCAATAACAGTCWATTGTGAGCGCTATGGACGCATGTTAACCGATCATTTTTGGCATTTTTGGAGATAAAGTGCAGATTATGATCTGGAACACATGTGGTTCCAGCAGGATGGGGCAACGAGTCACACAACACTGGCAGTTGAGGCMCCATTGCAAGAGAAATTTACAGTATTGGTACGCAAGATACAATTGGCCCGCAAGATCCTGCGACTTAACACCGTTAGATTTCTTTTTGTTGGGCTATGCAAAATATCGTCTTTACGCCCGCATTCCTCAAACTCTTGAGCAACTGAAAGCCCGTAAAGTTATGTTTGAGATATTACCGGTAATGTGCCGAACAGTGATTCAAAATGATTGAGGCCTGTAGGAGGTCCCGTGGAGGACATTTAAATTATATTGTTTTTCACGTATAATGGCAAGGTTTAATCTTTATATTGAATTAAAATTTTCGGCTCCATCTGAATATTTTGACTTTTTTTACTTTACTTTCCCAAGCATAAAATGGATAACACTGTATATTGTGAATCGATTTTTCGTTTATCTTTATGCTCGTATCCAATTCTTCCAATGCTTCCTTCAAAACTGAAAACTAGGGTAAACCAAATGCATACGTGATGTACATGTCTTTTTATTTTTATTCTTCTAGTGAAGCTCTTGTCAACTTTCTTCAGAGAAATCTGACTCCAATAGACATTAGCGGTT